GCCTAGACTGGCTGCCCAGTGAGCCCCTATGATCTGCCTGTCCCTGTTTCCAGTCATTGAGGTTAAAGGCACATGGCAACATCCAACATAAGGGAATTTTTCCAAGGACAAAATTTAGCTTGTTATATTTTTCAACTTTCAAAATGTGTTGTTTGAGAATTTCATATATGGATCTGGTATGTTTTGCCCAAATCCTCTTCCCATTCTCTCCTGTCCAACTTGTCTGAATCTCCCACCATCATCACACACTCATTTGAAACAGTGTTGTCAGTACCTCCGTGGCTGCAGGACAGTCCACAGGAACACGGAGAGCAGCCTGTCAGAGATGGCGACTCTCTCCCTTCCCTAACAGCCAACCCATAGCTCCTCAGCTGTAGGTAAGATTTCATGCAGATATCCCCCACCTGTGGCGGGATTTTGGCTGGCTGGCTCTTATGTATTTCTTGTGCACACAGTCACACCCACTATGAGTGCATGTGTGCGCATCCTCGCCATGACCAGAAGATACTATCTCCCAGCAGTTCTCAGCTACCTCTGACTCTTGTGATTGTTCTGCCCACTCTTCTGGGATAATCCCTGAGCCTTGAATAGACCAGGTATTAAATAGATGTTCTATTTAGAGATGAGCACTTCACAGTCTTCTCTTCTCTGCACCAAGGTGCACCACTGTTTGCAGTAGGTGGCAATTAATACAGAGCCCACAACTGACCGATCATCTATTTTCAGGAAACCTCAAAAATAGAAGCTCGTTGGTATCAAAGTTTTCTTCAACGTTTTGTTTTATTTTTTCAAGACAGGGTTTCTCTGAGTAACCCTGGCCGTCCTGGAACTCCCTCTGTAGACCAGAATGGCCTCAAATTCAGAGATTCCACCTGCCTCTGCCTCCCGAGTGCTAGGATTAAAACCGAGTGCCATCAGTACCCAGCAACTTATGCCATTCTTAATTCATGACCCTAATGAAGATATCCTGTTCAACTAGGGCTACTGGCCAGTGATGATGCTTAGAAGTTCATTTCTTTGTGTGTTGGAGGAGATGCAGAAAGTGGGCATACATGCTCAGGTGTGTGTGGTGTGTGTGTGTGTTTGCAAGTGTGTTCTGTATGTACTTGTTCTCATACATGCATATATGTGTGGAGTTCAATATTGAGTATCTCCTCAATGTCTCTCCCACCAAACCTGGAGTTTATCAGTTTAGCTGAGTTGGTTGGCCAGTACCTTCAGGGATCCACCATCTCTGCCCTCTACTGCCCCTGCCTAGCTTTTCTCTGGGTGCCTGGGGATATGTACTCAGATTTTAATGTTTGTTAGGAGGTACTGTACCAACTGAGCCATCTCCCCACCTTTCAAATCTCATATTTTAATACATCAAATGTGTAGCCAACACTATTAGTGTTCCCCTTTCCACGTCTTTGTCACCAGAGTACAGCTGTTGCACTTTTTAAAATCATTGTTTTCTTACACACGTGTGTGTAATGATTTTGGTTTCTCTTATTGTGCCTGCCTTTTTATATGTTCACCTGGCTCCAGACACTACTCTTCTTACTCTGAAATACTAAGTAGCCCTTTAATAATATTGTTAAATGCTATTATTGTATTTTCTCAATTAAAATAAATTTCCATTCATTTTTTTTTTTTTACATGTGGCTTGATGTCTCAAATCAGTTATCTTCAAATAGCCCATGGTTTTGGAAAGTCTGAACTTTTATCTGCTTGTTATTTCATGTGAACTTAATATTCTTACCCAAACTTTCCACATTCCACGTCCTCAAGCTTCATTTTGTCTCTAAAAAAAATTTAAATGCCAATCGAAAGCCAAAATCAACGATTTTCAGCCTCAGTTTTCAAATGTCAGTTTGTTTTACCTAACTCTATTCAATTTATATACTGTAATTCTAAACTTCAGTATTTGACATTTCTCTGCTGAAGAAAAACAGTAGAAACTTCGCCAGTAGTGTGGCTTTTGGAAAGTTGGCTCCTCCCACCTGCGGTCTTTGCGCGGGGGGGTAGGGTGGGGTGTCCTGGCTTCCTGCGCCTGCGCAGTCCTTTAGAGGTGCTGCCTTCGCTTAAGACTTAAGCCCAGGTCCCAGATCCGTGTAGTTCCTGCGCCCAGTACGGTGGGGGGCAACCCTGTGGGCACCCTGAAAATGCAGGTCTAGGTGGCTTTCCACGTTAGAACTCTGGTACTGAAACTCCAAAGAAGGGAGGGATCGACTGAAAAGTAAACAATAACAAAGTAAAGGCTTGGCTTTTTCTTCTGGCCCGTTTTCTGCTGAATCAGCTAACTTCGCAGACACTTTGTATTCTGGATTCTAGAAGAATTTAGTTCTTGTTTCCAAGAGTAGACAATGTGCTTTCACTATGTGAAGATGCTAAGTAAATTTCAACTTTAAAATGATAAATAAAAAAAATGGTGGGATGTGCCTATTAACCGAGCAGTCTTGCATGCTGAGGGCAAAATCCTGCTGGAAACCGCAGAGGCAGTGTTTCTGCAAGCCTACAGAAGGCGCTATTCCTAGAGTCTGCTGCACTGAGCCGCAGAGAACAAGAGGAAGACAGGGTACTTTAACTTACAATACACCAAGGTCGCTAAGTTTCTTTGGCCACAAGGTTGTTTTTATATAGATAACTGCCATCTCCCCCCCCCCCCCGCCACACACACACACACTCTACCACCACAAGTCCACCCCCAAAGAACCTGCATGGCCTTGAATGGACCTGCAGTCCGCCTCTGCCTCTACTCCTGCGAAACTTTTGTTCTTTATTTCCACTTGTTCCTCATATGAAATCGGACAAAGAGCAAAAATCCTGAAACAAAAAAGAAAGGAAGAAAAAGAGGAAGGGGGAAGAGGGGAAGAGAAAGACAGGGAAGAGAGGAAGAGGCGGGGAAGAAGGAAGGGAAGGAAAAAGAAGGAGAGAGAGAGAGAGAGAGAGAGAGAGAGAGAGAGAGAGAGAGAGAGAGAGAGAGAGAGAGAGAGAGAGAGCCCGCGCAACCGCCACCGCCACCCTCCTGGCTATCTGAAATGCTTATTCCCGAGATTACAGTAATTACAGCCGCAGCATGAGTTCCATACAAGCGCTAAATGAAACAGCACATCAATTAAAAAATAAACACTCCATTCTAGGAGAAAGACAACCCCCTGGGATGTCCTAACAAGCGTAAATGAACCTGCCAAGCCCTGGCCCCTCACACCCCCCTCCCTTCTTAAGGTGGACGCTGAAAGCGCTGGCGGCTACAGAATGCTACTCAGATTCTGGGTGTTGAGCGCTGTAAGGTCCCCGCGTCCCCGCTAGGGCGCAGCCCCGCCTCTCACAGCAAAAAAGGAGGCGCTTGCAAACACATGTTAAGTTTTTAGATAGGTGGCGTATGGTCTTAAAAGTAGCAAGCAAGCGAAGTGGGAATGCAGTGGTAGTTGTCAGTGTGTCTGTCTTATTAGTTTGTGTTTGAAAGGAGGAACTGGGTCCACGTGCTTCACATATTTATATATTTTGTCTCAACCAAAGATCAACCTCCCCAATGACATCTGTTTTGATCACTCCCACTTTCTAAGCAAGGAATTGAGATGCCCCAGCTCACACAGCAATGAACACTTAAGCTCTTTGCACGGAGGCAGGGCTCCTAAACACTCCCTTGACCAAACCTGATCATCTAGCTGCAACAGAAGTCGCACTATTCCCAATTCTCCAAGTCTGAAAAGACCTTGTTATGAGAATTCCAAAAGGGCATCCCTCCCCAAATACCCCAGCTTCGGGTCTGGATCAGCCTTGGAGCCCTCCTTGAGCTTCCAAGGCCCTCCAGAACCAGCAAGTATTGTCCATGGACCGAGACTAGCTGGATCTTAACAGGTTCGGAGAGTCGTGGGAGGTGCAACTCACTATCAAAACCCTGTCCCAGTACCCAGGTACAGACTCGGAGAAATGCGACCAAGATCTCTGAAGCACAGAGCTCTGTGGAGACAGTCTAGGTAAAAGCACAATTGGTGCGGTCAGTCCCAAGGTGACTAAACTCTCCACCCGCCCAAAGCCTTAAAACCAGTCGCCAAACTACGGACTTCCTTAAGGAAGGCAGACCCTTGAGAGCGCATAGACTCCGCCCTGTCACCCAGTGATTGGTGATTCCAGAAGGGGGCGGAGATCAAGTACAGGCTGTATAAATATTCATGAGCCGGCCTGGAGGCGCAAGCCGACCGAAGCCGGGAAGTTGGGCGAAGGGAGAAGCTCCTGCGGAGGTGGAGGCGGCTGCTGGCGCGGACCACGGCCCTCAGGTGTCCCCTCCGCCTTTTGCTCTGTATTTGTTTTTCGGTCTCGCAAGAAGGCACAGCCTGCACACCCTACCCGACTGTGGCCAGAACGCGACGCGGACTTTCGCTGGCGGCAGATGCAGGAGGACCGACTGGGACCGACGCGGGAGTGAGGAGGCGGCGGCGGCCTGATCAGCGGAGGGCCCGGAACTCTGGCTGTGGCGGTGGGGCCTGGGACGGACATGAACCCTCGGGGCCCGGAGAGGGGCCGCTAGGTCTGACCCCAGAGGCGAGCGGCCAGGCACAGCCATCTTGACTGCGGCCCGAAAGGAAACTTGCTGCGCGCCGCCCTCTGAGCCTTCGCTGCTGGGCGCCACGCGAAGTGGCTGGGCGTGCAGGAGGACCTGCGTGAGCTCTGGACGATGAACCCAAGGGCCACCACTTTGCTCCGGGAGGGTTGAGTGCGACCCGGAGGGCGTAGGACAGACCCTGTGGAACTGTGGCGCGCCTGCGGTCACCCTTGCCCCAGGAGAGGCACGGAGGTGGGGGGAGGGCCGGCCGACTTCTGCCTAGGCTTGCGACCCTGCTGCCACAAACGCTGCCCAGAAAGGGCTAGATTGTTGGCAGATTCTCGGCTCCTCAGGGAGAAGCAGCACAAGACCCGCTGGTCGCCTGCTTTCCCTTTCCTCCGATTCCTCTCTGGGTCCCCTAGGGCCCTTCTGCGCGCCGTCTAGAGGAGGACGTGGGGCCGCGGCGCGCAGCATGGAGTGGGGTTACCTGTTGGAAGTGACCTCGCTGCTAGCCGCCTTGGCGCTGCTGCAGCGCTCGAGCGGCGCCGCCGCCGCTTCGGCCAAGGATCTGGCATGCCAAGAGATCACTGTGCCGCTGTGCAAGGGCATCGGCTACAACTACACCTACATGCCCAACCAGTTCAACCACGACACACAAGATGAGGCGGGCCTGGAAGTGCACCAGTTCTGGCCCCTGGTGGAGATCCAGTGCTCCCCCGACCTCAAGTTCTTTCTGTGCAGCATGTACACGCCCATCTGCCTGGAAGACTACAAGAAGCCTCTGCCGCCTTGCCGCTCGGTGTGCGAACGCGCCAAGGCCGGCTGCGCGCCGCTCATGCGCCAGTACGGCTTCGCTTGGCCTGACCGCATGCGCTGCGATCGGCTGCCGGAGCAGGGCAACCCCGACACTCTGTGCATGGACTACAACCGCACCGACCTCACCACGGCCGCGCCCAGCCCACCGCGCCGCCTGCCGCCGCCGCCGCCCGGCGAGCAGCCGCCCTCAGGCAGCGGGCACGGCCGTCCGCCAGGGGCCAGGCCCCCACACCGTGGCGGCGGCAGCAGGGGCGGCGGGGACACGGCGGCTGTGCCCCCCTCGCGCGGCGGGAAGGCGAGGCCCCCTAGTGGTGGCGCCGCTCCTTGCGAGCCTGGGTGCCAGTGCCGCGCGCCGATGGTGAGCGTGTCCAACGAACGCCACCCGCTCTACAACCGCGTCAAGACGGGTCAGATCGCCAACTGTGCGCTGCCCTGCCACAACCCCTTTTTTAGTCAGGATGAGCGCGCCTTCACCGTCTTCTGGATCGGCCTGTGGTCGGTGCTCTGCTTCGTCTCCACCTTCGCCACCGTCTCCACCTTCCTCATCGATATGGAGCGCTTCAAGTACCCGGAACGGCCCATCATCTTCCTCTCCGCCTGCTACCTCTTCGTATCAGTCGGCTACCTGGTGCGCCTGGTGGCAGGGCACGAGAAAGTGGCCTGCAGCGGTGGCGCTCCGGGTGCGGGAGGAGCTGGGGGTGCTGGCGGCGCCGCTGCTGCTGGCGCGGGGGCGGCGGGAGCGGGGGCGAGCGGCCCGGGCGCGCGCGGCGAGTACGAGGAGCTGGGAGCAGTGGAGCAGCACGTGCGCTATGAGACCACCGGCCCCGCGCTGTGCACGGTGGTCTTCCTCCTTGTTTATTTCTTTGGTATGGCCAGCTCCATCTGGTGGGTAATCCTGTCGCTCACGTGGTTCCTGGCGGCTGGCATGAAGTGGGGCAACGAGGCCATCGCGGGCTACTCACAGTACTTCCACCTGGCCGCGTGGCTAGTGCCCAGCGTCAAGTCCATCGCGGTGTTGGCGCTCAGCTCCGTGGACGGCGACCCGGTGGCGGGCATCTGCTACGTGGGAAACCAGAGCCTCGACAACCTGCGCGGCTTCGTGCTAGCGCCGCTGGTCATCTACCTCTTCATTGGCACCATGTTTCTGTTGGCTGGTTTCGTGTCCCTATTCCGAATCCGCTCAGTTATCAAGCAGCAAGGAGGCCCAACCAAGACGCACAAGCTAGAGAAGCTCATGATCCGCCTGGGCCTTTTCACCGTGCTCTACACGGTGCCCGCCGCCGTCGTTGTCGCCTGCCTTTTCTATGAACAGCACAACCGTCCTCGCTGGGAGGCCACTCACAACTGCCCATGCCTTCGGGACCTGCAGCCTGACCAGGCGCGCAGGCCGGATTACGCGGTCTTCATGCTCAAGTACTTCATGTGCCTGGTGGTTGGCATCACGTCGGGCGTGTGGGTCTGGTCCGGCAAGACTCTGGAGTCCTGGCGCGCGCTGTGCACCCGCTGCTGCTGGGCCAGCAAGGGCGCAGCAGTAGGCGCGGGAGCCGGAGGCAGCGGCCCGGGGGGCGGCGGCCCCGGGCCAGGCGGGGGTGGGGGACCCGGTGGAGGCGGGGGATCTCTCTACAGCGACGTCAGCACCGGCCTGACGTGGCGATCTGGCACGGCCAGCTCCATGTCTTACCCTAAACAGATGCCATTGTCCCAGGTCTGAACCCTGAGCGGACGCCCAGAAGGGGCGGAGAGGGGTGGGGGATGGGGGAGCCCGAGGGCGGCTTAGGGACCCCAGACAGGCCGGGGTTCCCACCCCTCCACCGTGTTGATTGCTATTAGCATGATAATGAACTCTTAATGGTATCCATTAGCCGCTGGGACTTAAATGACTCCCTTAGAACAAAGTACCTGGCATTGAAGCCTCCCAGACCCAGCCCCTCCCCTCCGACGCTCCGGAGCGCCTCCCCCAGGCGATGGTTTCAGTCTGCTAGGAGAGTTGGAACCCTCCTGGGTACCCTGGCTGAGCCTTGAGGTCAAGCTGCAGACTTCACCCGAGGGACCGCTTCACCCTCAACCCCGCCTGCATAAATTCACTCCTCACACCCTGGAGGAGGACGACTGCTACCTTGTAGGATTGCACGGTTTGGGTATTCCTAATGACCAGGCAGAGGCCTTAAATAAACAAGAGATGTCTTAATTATACACCCCAAGTAAATACGGGTTTCTTACATTAGAGGATGTATTTATATAATTATTTGTTAAATTGTAAAAAAAGAAAAAAGAAAAGAAAAGAAAAAGTGTAAAATATGTATATATCCAAAGATATACAACGTGTACATTATCTGTAAAAAGTTTAGAGGCTTCCCCTGTAAGAACAAATATAAGTATTCTATTTTGTCAATAAAATGACTTTTGATAAATGATTTAAATACCACCCTGTCCCCCTTATGCTTGCTGAGGACATGTGGGGAAATGGACATTTTCTGGCTTGCCCTTCTGTGCACTGACTTTAGGCATGGACACAATTACCTGTTAACCTCTAGTTCTTCGGCTGTTAGCAAAGTAAATGTCATTGTTGAATTGAAATCAGAATCGCGTTTTTGCACCTTCCCCCAAAGATGGTGTTTTTCATGGTCTCTCTTTGCTGACCTGTGAGTGACAGACAGCTCACCTTGGCATGTGTGGTGTGAGTGGATGGACAGTTTGCAAAGGCTGCCATTCCACCCAGCCTGTTTATTTGGCTGATATAATGTCGCTTAAAATTTGAAACAGCAGCCCTATGTAAGTGTCTCCAGTCTGTGATTTTTTGAAAGTCCTGACCTTTTACAGACCTGGCCACACTCTAAAATTTGGAGGTTAGTATTTGAAGCCACGGGTCACCTCTACTCTGAAAGTCACTTCACAATCTGGTGTAGCAGAGCAGGTGCTAGCTAACAGATTAAACGAATGGGTTAACTTCTTAATAGCGCTCCGTGCTTGTGTGTTCCAAGTGTGCTGCTTTTCCTGGAGAAAAAAGCTATTGTTCCTCTGTCAAGACTAAGCTAATTTATTTGAACAGAAGGCTGTTGAATCAGCAGAAGAATGTGCTGGCAATTGTTGAACTTTTTACCTGTCTGCCCAGTGGCTCCGCACATCATTCCTTTAAGAGGAGCTAAATGAATAGGGTTAATCTGTAGGGAACTTGGTCTTTTGAGTTTGAAAAACTTTGATCTTTTCTCCTCTCCGAATGTGCTGTGTAGTCTGAAGTTTCTTTCCCTGCTGCCTGGCTCCTCTTGGTGCAGACCAATTGGCCACCGCAGAGCCTTACCGCTCGTCCATTAAAGGGATGTGGGACTTTTACTTTAAAAAGGAGAGGGAGAGAGGAGACGAAGACTTGTAACAGTTAGTGAAGACCAGAGGCGCAAGTGCGAGCAGCCTTTTCAGCAGCTTTCCAGGGCTTTGTTAGCCAGCCCGCAGGCAGCTAGGCCTGGGTTGTGCATTGTAGAAAAGGCTCTGAATGCCCCACAGGTGGTCTGTGCACATAATCCCCCAATTTAAAGCGGTTTCCTTTGCTGGACAATTGCATTACAAAACTCCCTTCTTTTTCACTCCTAATTGAACCAATGAACTATTATAAACTACAAGTTTTTCTTTAAAAAAAAAATCCTCAGTAAATTCTATTGACTAAATGCTGGTAAATTTTCTGAACTGGACCTTTCAAACCCCTTGCAGGAAATGCTTCTTCAGCAGATATTTTTCAGATAATTTTCTTCTGTAGGCTTTTTTTAATTTCTGGAAGATTAGCAATAATTTAAAAGTAATTGGTAAGGTTATATGTTCATATTGAAAAGACAGCCCCAGGTCCCCTATTAACCTGTCAATCAAGATAAACTGGCAGCTACCCTGCTAATAACTGGAGTCCAGCATTGGGGATGGGGAGGGGCCCTGGGTGCCCTTCTTAGCAGTTTGGTTTTCCTTTAGTGACTAAATTCTGAATTCATAAGAAGAAGACTGTTTATTTTATCGACCTTCATTGAAGAAGTATGGGTGTTTTATTTTTTAATTTTCTGTTCCCTTCCAAAGTCACTATTTGTGTTAACTGGATTTTTTAAATTAGACATGCAATGTGAATACAAGCTTCAGCTGCCATGCCCATCTTATTTTGAAAAATTGGGCACCTTGCCAGCAGTTTTATTCATTAAATAATTGCTGTTTTGTGGCCTAGGTTCCTAAATGCACTCCCATCTCACTTACCGACTTGGGGGCTGTGTGTGTGTAAATTGGCCATGAACTCTGCAAATTCAGTAATAAGGTCAAAGTGGGGGGCAGGGCTTTATCATCTGTAGAAAGGAAAAGAGCTAAACGTTGTCGGTTAACTTGCTGATTTTTCTGACATAATGGTGTTCTTGGTGATGATTTTCAACTATGACTTTGGGGAGTTGTCATACTTTGAAGCTCTTAGCTCGTTCATTTTCCATATATACTCATAAAATGCCATAAGTGATAACTTTTACAAGATGGCCGTTAAGTGTGCACAACTTAACAAACTTGTGAATCAAGAAAAAGCACTGCCTCCACCCTGGGGACGTTCCGTGGAAAAGGGCTGCAGGGCTGCTGCTGTGATCAGCAGACTGACTGGGTTCAGGGCTGGCACTGAACCCCTGGGCTTTGAAAGCCGAGACTTGAATCAAAAGTTGTCAACACCCAAAGTTGATTGAAAGGGCAGGAAAAGTAAAGGACCCTTCTAGGCCCATATGCATCAGACAAATGGCAGGGTGATTGCCCAGCTACCACTGTAAGCTATATAGGCCTGTCCTTAACATTTAAAAAGTGTTAAGACTTATCAGCTATCTGAGGGTAGGCAATGTTGTTATGTGCCCAGAAGATCAAAGTAAATAAAATCTAACGTGATGACCGCCACCAGGAAGCCAAAGCTTGTGGAAGTCACTTGCTGCGGGACTTTTTGGTTTTGCTGTGTAGTCAAGGCCACCTGGAAGCGCTGTAAACAGAGGTGGGAAAGTTCATAGAAAAACAGTGCAGCCTCATTTCTCCTCCTCCTTGCTGACTGAGCTGTGGGCACCTGCAACACTTCAGCGTTTGAGGAGAGGAAATCAGGTTGTCTTAACTAGGAGGAAATCACACAGAGCGAATTGCAGAACAGGATCAGTTTGTGAGAGTCCTGCAAACATTTTTGGGGAAGCTCAAAACAAGGGCCATGGAGCCTGTCATTGATTTAAAAGGTTGATGCTATACTGCCATCTTGTGGTACAACAAGGTTCCCGAAACTGCAGGAGAGAGCAGTTTGATTTCTTGATTGAAAAGCCATGGTGGAGCTGGGCAAAGTGCTAAAGTTGTTCCAGGGCTTGGATAGCATGCACACAGCCCCGGGTTCACTCCCCAGCACTGCATATGATAAATACAGTGGCACGTGTCTGTGACCCCATCAGGAGTTCAAAATCATCATCAGCTACAAATAAAGTTTGAAACCAACCTTGGACTAAAGACTCTGAAAAGAATAAAATCTTGATAGTGTTGGTTCTATTTCTCGGGGGACCTGCACACATTTGTACTCTGAATTCCATAGCCATCTTCTTAAGAAAAACACCCCAGACCTATGTCAGGGTAAGGTGCCACAAGAGATTCCCTGCCACTCACAATTTGATTAGCCTCAATCGAATTAAATTCTCCTGTGTTAACATCCTAAGTATTAAACTCTAAAAATTGCCATTTAAGGAATGGCAATGTGATGCCCCACTTCCACAGCAAAAAGGGTACAATTTTCTTGCTTCCTGATGTATTGTTTTACAGTTTCCTTGGAGAGAGGCAGATCTGCTGGACCATGGGATGTCCTTCAGAGTTACACAAGGATACACTCAGTTGTCATCCACTTAGGTGGTAGGGAGCACACCAAGGAGAGGACACGCCACTGGAAAAGGAGGCTAGCCATGGGGTGGGGTGAGTAACTGCTTTGGTTTGCTCTGGCTGTCCAGGAAGGAGGACATACGGGTGACCAGGCCTGTGTGACCCACAGAACTCAGTGTCTAGGCCTGATTTCACAGAAGCTGCAGTAGACGCAGCCACTCACGCATGTGTCAGTGCATATAAAGTCCTGGGGAGATCTCAGTTATGTTTCTGTTACCCTGACAGAAACATCATGGCCAAGGCAACTCATAAGAGAAAGCATTTGATTGGTGACTCACGGTTCCAGATGATTAGAATCCGTGACCATCATGGCAGGGAGTAGGGCAGCAGGCAAGGCACTAGAGCTGTAGCTGAGAGTTCGTGTCTGATCTGCAGCCACAAGGGGGAGAGAGAGAGAGAGAGAACAGTGTGGGCATTGGGAACCTCAGAACTCACCCCCAAGGACTCCTCCAGCAGGACCATGCCTCCTAATCTTTCCCAAATAGTTCCACCACTTAAGCACCAAACATTCAAACATATGGGAGCTGTTCTTGTTCAAATTACCACCGGTATAACATAGTCCTTGCTACAGGTTAACAAAAAGTAATTGCTGCACTTGTAAAAATCACTCTATCCAGAGTAGAGCTGGGCCTAGACGGTTTGCCCCTCCAGTTTCTGTACCTGTTCCCACCGCCCCACTCTTCTAGCAAAAGTCCACACCTGTGGGCAATTATAACTGACGAGTCAGCATTCGTGGTACCAGCGTATCTCAAGAGTCACACACTTTCCACCTGGTCTCTGAAAGGCTTGACCCTTGGGTCTTTGACGGAGGGTACTCTCTGAGTCCTCACAACTCCTGTTCACAGCCATCCTGTCCTTCCCAATGGAGACCTCACAGGGGAGAAAGGGCAGATACGGAAAAGACTGCCCTAGCCAGCAGAGTCAGGGGCCTTGCAGAGAGTGCCTCAGCGGGCCAGGGGAGGAAGGCAGTGACGATCAGCCCCTTCTCCTTGGTGATAGAGGGTTGGGAGGTGAGGCAGAAGGGTTCTGGAATCCGGGGAGCCAACTTGCAGGCAACAGCTGGAGCCGGCGACCACACAGCGGTCATAGGCTATCACTGTGGAAGTGCGTTGAGAGGATAGTGATCCCTGGGAAGGACGGACACTAACCAGAGAAAGATGGGGAGCAAGAGAGCAAAGATAAAGTGCCAAGGCCCAGCACAGCTGGGATGAGCATGAACTGAAGAGCTACTGTGCTTGACTTTGCAAGCTCTGGGACGACTATTATTTGTATTGCTTTATTTAATCCTCCAGAGAATTATACACTAAGTTAGAAAGCCTGTATCTGCAGCTTGGCTCCCATAAAACCTGTTCCTAATTACACCATGCCCCAGCAGTAGTTCCTATTTCTGTTCACTTGTCAGAAGCCCTTGGAGTGTGTGTGTGTGTGTGTGTGTGTGTGTGTGTGTGTGTGTGTGTGTTTTTAAACTCCTGAAGCCAGAGCCCATGGTGGTGGCACATGCCTATAGTCTCCACAGTCAGGA